AGTGGAGAACAGGCTTCAGAAGTGATTGTAACAGGAGCCAAGTGATTAATGAAATATCAGAAACAAAATAATGAGTGTGTGAGGTTACTAAACCATAAAAGCAAATGTTCTAGTATTCTGCAATTATAAACCAAAACATATATTTTTACATTTTAAATTAGAGTAGAACCCCTATTTTTAAGGTGATATCAAATTGTCACCTTAATGAGGGTGTCCCCTGGATATATCAGAAACAAAAATAATGAGTGTGTGAGGTTACTAAACCATAAAAGCAAATGTTCTAGTATTCTGCAATTATAAACCAAAACAAATATTTTTACATTTTAAATTAGAGTAGAACCCCTATTTTTAAGGTGATATCAAATTGTCACCTTAATGAGGGTGTCCCCTGGATAGGGATACCCCTATATTTTAAGTACACCAAGCAGAACTGAAATTATCCCCTTTGTAAGGGGTTTTTGACATAGTCATATCGATGTCTTAGATTCTTTATGATAATATTTTAATTGACCTAAGAATGAATTGCAACAGAATTAAACTAATTTGTATGATTATTTGCAATGTAAATAAAATATATTATGATATGATGCCATATCAAATTGAATGTAAGTAATTAAAACAAAAATCGTATTTGTATATGATTTAAGTGAGCAGATAACCCTTTTTAAAATATTGCTGAGCTTTCTATTGAATACCCAAGATACAATAACATGAGTAATGACTTACAAATCAGTATGCAGGTATGGATTAGAAACCTATACTGTATGAAAGTACCTATACACTAAAAAAAATATCTAATGGCTATGTATGGAATTAACAAGATTAGTGTATACGAAGTGACACACTGAGTATGTCTTTACCAATATCCATTTTAGGGAGCAAGAAAAAAAAATGGTTTTTTAAAGTATATTGCTCAAAAGTTGTCAAAATATAATATTGAATGCAATATTATTTTGAGTCTGTGTACTGTTGTTGTGATTTTAGTGTCTTTGGCCCCTGGACCTTGATCGATGGCCTTTGGAAACAGTGGTGTATCTAGGGAGGTGCTCATCCTTCCAAAACTGACTCGCGCTCCCATCCGTTGCATCAGTCCTTAGCTACACAGTAGGCAGTTTGACAGTAGGCCTATACGTTACTGCTCGTTCTGCTCAGGGGTGGCGCCAGCGAGTGGGTGGGGGAGAGACCCGTTGGGGAGAAATACAAATTATTGTATATGTATTTTCTACATAGACCTTTTAGTAGACTCTAAAATCGGTTAAATAAGCCTTTGAAACCCCTAAATTGACATTTTTCGGGAGCTTCGCCGCCTAGACCACTTTTGGAAGATTTTGAGTGGCGCCCGACTACGCCAACTTTGCTCTCGCGGGAACATCGCCTTTCCTCCTTCTCCCCCCCCCCCCCGGTCGGGCAAATCCTGGCGCCACCTCGGCTCTCTTTGAGACGTGTGAAAGTTGGTGTGCCTACAAATTCTTCCCGCTTCATTTTGTTTTTTTCATCCTTTCCATGATAACCCAGAAAAAAGCCCATGGAATTGTACGAACTCTGAAGTCATAACAGACCTGTCAGAAAGTAGGCTACATTTATCTAGCTACGAAACAAATATTTCCGGGAGAATACCCCTGACGCTCCCTCCCCCTCCCCTTCCTCTTATAAACTAGGCCTACAGTACACGCGGAAGTTAGTGCTAGAAGTGTAATATTCCTACTCGTCAAGTGCAGCAGTGTCTGTTAGTTCATTTAAGAGTTCGATTTGTTTAAGAAAGTATAATACATACTCCAAATATTGAAATACACGCCATCGTGTTGGGATTCATTATTTCGACATTAATTATGTCATCATCAGGAATGAAAAATTATCCATATTAGCAAGCTTATATGCACTACTGAGTACCAAAAGTGTTTAACCAATCAAAACATTACCTCTAGTAGATGACATAGCAGTGATTTAAACAAAAGATCAAAGCATTCTTACTCTAATGATCAAAGATACCTACAAAAAAAAAAAAGCTCTTTTGAAGCTCTGAGCCCATTGTTAAGCAAAGGGTGTAGTCTACGTATAGCGAACGCTTCTTTAAACAGTAGGATAGACCAGTTTCGGGAGCTGTCAATAATGCTAGTACTAGAAAATATTAAACCTAATTTACTTGCATTACAGACGACATTATCATTTTCAATATACCCTGTAATCCTAAAACAAATTGGAATGACTCACAGAGCTTCAAAAGAGCTTTCTTTATTCTTTCCCTCCCCCAGCTTTCTTTTTTCTTTCCCTCCCCCACCCCACCTTTCCGGCGGAATCGTTTGACTCAGTGGACCCAAGTTGGGAACCACCACATTTTTAAGTACAGACTTGCCTACATACATGACGATGTTAATAGAACAATCTTCAACGTTGGGGGCATTACCGCATTTCCACGAACTACCGCGAGAAAGGGCTGCCCTGGGATTTCTATAGAAAATGGGAATTTACGTTGAAGACTGAGTTAGTGGAAACTGTTTTATACCCTGTACAACAAGGAAATCGTGGTATTCCTAGTACCAAATTGATTCCGATAATATTAGGGCAGTTTCATTTCGTATAATATTCGAAAGATGTTCAGATTGTGTCTGTGCAATACGTGGTTAGGGTGGAAAGGGAAATTGATATTTGCTAGTTGACGACAACGATCATATTTATTATTGCTATATATTTCCGCAGCTTTTGTGTCAATAACCTATCGATACTGTACGACCCAGGTATGTAAAATTTTCACGTGTATTCTAGCTACACCGCTATTGATTATGTCTAGGAGTAGCGGGAATAGGGCTATTTGTAAGTCGTTATTATAGGTGTATAAATTAAATGAAATAAATAGAAATTCTTTGTCAATCGAATTTAATTGCATTTTATTCGTATAGTGATTGTGTAATGATTTCTTCTTTTGTTTCATTTAGTTACATTTATGAGGAATTTCATCATAAATGTATATTTGCATTGATCAAAAGTACTAGTTTTTATTATACATCTTTTTCAAATTGTATCCTGTGTGCCAACACACATAAGGGGACAATTCCACAATTTGTGTACAAACAAGTGCCCTCTGATGGCCTAATATTGGTACGCTATTCAGGGGACACTCATGTTAAGGAGACACTTTTAGTCCCGAAGGTGTCCCCTTAATAGGCGTTCTACTGTAATCAACATTTTTGGACAAAAGTGTAGGCCTATCAGGATTCGAACCCAGCCCTCCGATTATTGTTACTTGCAATATTTAAGGTGGTGTGGCAAG